TTTGTCTATTAAAAGAAAGAAAACATTCAATAGATTAAAGAAGTTAAATTTAGAATTACAAGAAGTCACATAAAAGAAAAACAAAAGCAGCTGCTAGAATATTCCAAAATAGGGATCGCATACACCTCATTAGCACACAGGAAAAAAAGGGGTAGTTTTATTCATCCAAAAGGCAATTCCAGTGAAACAAATCTACAAGGATGGTAAAGGGAGGATCTTGATAGTAGAGATAGAAATAAATCAGAAGAAAATTATATTAGCTGAGATCTACGCATCAAATAGTGCACAAGAGCAATTTTATAGGAAATTACACAATACGATCTGTGACATACTGCATGATAACATCTGCATTCTGGGAGATTATAATGCAATTATAGACAAAAAATTATATTATGAAAGTTACCAGGAGGAGGAGCTGAAAATAAAAGATGTTTGGAGAAAGAGAAACCAGGATAAAAACCAATATACATACTACTTGAATACACACAAATCATGGTCCGGAATTGACATGATCTGGGCCTCAATAGAATTGCAATCAGAAGTGAAGGAAGTTGCAATTGGCACGAATCTCTGGGCAGATCACAATCCCATAGAAATAAGTTTGGTAGAGAAAAAGAGGATGACAAGATGGATGTTGAAAAGATCGATTATAAAAGACAAGGAATTCAAATTATTGATGAGTAATCAATTGCATCTCTTATTCAAAAAAACAAAAAATAATAAAAGAGAATTGAGAAGGATCTACAAGATAAGCCGCAAAAAGGGAATATAAAACAACAAATGGATCTAATTAGACATAAATTGAATATACTAGAAAAGAAAGACTTGGCACTACAGATAAAAAAGACAAACCAAAATACTTTTGAGAATGCTAACAATCCAGGGAGATGGTTGCATACAAACTGAAAAGACAAACAGAGGAAAAATGGGTCATCAAACTACAAGATGAGGAGGGGAATATATGTTACCAAAATGAGAAGAAAAAGATAGTCCAGAAGTTTTATGAGAACCTATATAAAGAAATTGATTGCTAAGCAGAAGGGGAAATAATACGATGTCTTTAGAAAGTGGACCTGCTGAAAATTCCAGAAGAAATTAAAAATATGTTAAATGAGGAAATAAGGAACTGACAGATGCGATTCAAAAACAAAAAAATAAGATATCGGGCCCTGATGGACTACCGATAGAAATATATAAAGAACTGCAAGATACCTTAGGAGAAATTTTACTTGAAGTATATAATGCAGTTTTGGAAGAAGCGAAGATACCATAAACATGGATGGAGGCAAATATTATCCTGATATCAAGAAAACTCAGACAAGACACCAATTAAGAATTATAGGCCTATATCCTTGTTAAATGCAAACTACAAGATATTCACTTCAATAATAGCAGAACATCTAAAAAATTCCTAGACAAGTTTATACACACAGACCAAAATAGTTTCCTCCTAAAAGACAAATGAAAAATAACATACCGTATTTTTCGGAGTATAAGACACACCTTTTTTCCTCTAAAAAGAGGCTGAAAATCTGGGTCCATTCTTATACACTGAATACAGCATTTTTTGCCTCCTGAAGCCCCACCCCCTTCACCAAAATGGCCATGCATACCCTTATGAAGGTTTTCAGAGAGTTCCTGGGGGCTGGGGAGGGCAGAAATGAGCAAAAAATGGAGCGATTTTTGCCCCCCCAACTCCCAGGAGCACTCTATAAGCCTCCATAAGGCTATGCATGCATATATTTTTTTTGCTCCTTTTTGCCCCCTTGGAACACTCTGCAAGCCCCTCCCAAGGCTATCATGCCTTTTATTTGAAAAAAACGGGGCCGTTTTCACAAAAAAAGGGGGGCTGTTTTGGGGAGGTTTGCAGAGTGCAAAACCTCCCAGCACCCCTTTCGGAAAGATGTTTAGTTAGAGTGGTTGATGAGTTTTAGGCACAACAAGTTGTCAGTGATTTCCTTCTCAAGCACATGGATAAATACACCTGGAAACATCTACCTACCTACTCTCTCTCTCCCCCCTACCTACCTACTGTATCTCTCTCCCTTTATCTACCTACCTACATACCTAACTAACTAATCTCTCTCCCCCTACCTACCTTCTGTATTTCTCTCTAGTTCTCTCTATTTCTCTATCCTTCTACCTACCTACCTACCTACCTACCTACCTACCTACCTACCTACCTACCTACCTACCTAC